AATAGCTATTATTTCAGAGATGTGTGTTTGCCTAAATAGACGCTTTATAAAATAATAACTCTCAGAAGTGTTTTATACATAAGTTTTCTTGCAATATTCATCTTGAATAAATTTTAACATTTATATTATCTAGATAGTTATATTGAATTTAATTTGATTAACAGTTTATTATTATAGGAACAATACTATATTATATACAATTATATTTATATAATACTGAAATTATATAACAAATTCAGAAACCGGACACATTTGAAATGGCAAAGCCATTTCTCTATGCAGTATTTAAATTTATTTTAATTATAAAACAAATATTGAAGTAATGAATACATTTTAAATTGACTTTTAAATATATATGTCTGTATTTTAGGGCTAGGGAAGTAGCTCAGTGGTAGAGTGCTTGGCTAACATATGCAAGGTCTGGGTTCAATCCCCATTTCACAAGCAAACAAAAACAAAATCAATGTACAGTCATGCCTTGCTTAAAGAAAGAGACACATTCTAAGAAATGTACCATTACATAATTTTTTGTTGTGTGAGTATACTCACAGAGCATACTTACACAAACACACAAACCTCAATGGTCAATTATTTATTGCAGCCACTCAATGTAATCAAGAGACTCAGCAAACACAAGACTGAGGCTGCTGCATATATTATTCTATAGTAATATACTATATAGCATATACTATTCAATAGTAAACATTATTCTTTTATAAGTAAAAGTACACTCTAAAATAACAATAAAAATTATAGTATAGTGGGCTGGGGATTTAGCTCAGAGCCAAGGATTTAGTTCAGTGGCACCATGCCTGCCTCGCAAGCACAAGGTCCTAAATTCAATCCCTGGTACCAAAAAAAAAAAAAAATTATAGTATAGTGAGGCATGATGGTACAGATCTGTGATCCTAGCTACTTGGGAGGATTGCAAGTCTGAGGCCAGCCTGGACAATTTAGCAAGACTGTCTGAAAATAAAATAAAAAGGGCCACAATACAGCTCAGTGGTAGAAAACTTGCCTAATGTGTAAAGCCCTGAGTTCAATCCCTAGCATCACATACTCAAAAATACATATACTATACATATATATATATATATATAGTATAGGTTAGTGAATGTCAGTAAAAGGTGCTTATTTTGATGATCATATATTATGTACTGTATATATTGTGGGGGTTTTTTTGGTACCAGGGATCGAACTCAGGACCTTTTGCTTGCAAGGCAGGCATGGTGCCACTGAGCTAAATCCCTGGCCCATTGCTGTGATATAGTTGCAGTACAGTTGGTTTGCTTACTATATCACCATGTGATAGGAATGTTAGAGTTCCCTTAAAATATTATGGGACCAGGGGCCGGGGATTTAGCTCAGTGGTTCCAGCACCTGCCTCACAAGCGCCAGGATCCGAGTTTGATCCCCGGTACCAAAAAAAAATAATATTATGGGACCACTGCTGTACATGCAGTCCATTACTGACCAGAACATTGTTATACAGCACACCTAATCTCACTTCTCTACAAGTAAGCTATGAAATCTCCTCCCAAGAAATGAAAAAACCTGGTTTCCTTCATACCCTGATTAATGGAAACTGAGATTTGCAGAACAGCTCCATGTTCTATTTAATTCTCTGTCTCTCTGACTTTAGAAATGCTTGATTTGGCTATGTAAAAGTAATTCTAATTATAGTGATTTACATGAACTACTTACCATTTATGCCTAATTACCTCAAGGCACAATAACAATTATGCATACATTAAATGTGTCACATTAACCTGGTTGTAAGTTTTATTTGATAACAAAAGTGAAGAGTCCATAAATGCTCATTCTTCATAGTTTGCTGCTCAGACGGCATAGTCATCTATTCATAACTTCTTCAAATATTTGTTAGAGAAAATATTATATAGGTAAGTAAAGGTACCCCAACACACTGCTACCAATTTTTTCTTATAGATTAATAAATCTGGCACTTTGTGAAGGAGGTACATTTTATTTTAATATGATAGCCTAGGCTTACAGAAAGTGCCTTAGGACTACAATGCAAAAAAAAAATAGTCTACCATAATGATTATTTAAACATCTGCATTAAAAACAAAATCAAAGTTCATAAAATCATAAATTTTGTTTACCAGAATTAACAATTCTACAGAGAAAGATCTTCTATTACTGGACAACCTGATAGCCCAAATTTCCTTCTGTGATAATTGGCACAACACCATTTATTATTTTTCTGGAGCAGCCCAAACAGACTAAGACAGTGGATTACATGAGTGACAGAGTATCACACTGTGAGGCCTGGCTATGCATTGGACATCCCCGGACTCGCTGTTGTCCCACGTAATACCACTCTAAATTTCCATTTCATTCTGTTACCTAAAAGAATCTCTATTCCTCTCAACCAAAAGATGTTAACACAAGGGCTACCTTTTACTTAATATAAAAATAGTATTATTTAATTATACTTTGAAATCCTTGCTTTTCTTTTTGGTTTTGCTCTCAAGTGCTTTTTTTGTGTGTTTTTGTTTTTTTGGTACCGGGGATCAAACTGGGACCTTGCGCTTGCGAGGCAGGCGCTAGAACCACTGAGCTAAATCCCCGGCCATCAAGTGCTTTTTAAAATGTAAAATTACTTTCATCAGAGTTTTAAATAAAATATAACTAATACATGTTATACAGTTCCCTTTTCTTTTTTTTTTTTTAATTTTATTTTACAGTGCCCTTTTCTAAAGACCTCACAACAAAAGAATACTTGGGTTAGGGGCGGGGGGAGACTGGTCAATCAAGGAAGAAACAGTTTCTTAGGTTGAACCATATTGTAATTCTTATTACTATTGCCATCCTTCCTAATTTAAAAATGACACCACTGATAAAACTGGTTCCTGTGACAGGATATATATGGAAATGAGAGTTTTGTTACTGTGACAGAATTTCAGCAAAAGCTGAAAATAAGGGGAGGCAAGTTTCCTATACACACTAAAGAGAGGCACTAAACACACCCATGCAAGAATTACTTAAAAAGAAAAAACATAGGCAAAAACAGGTCCAAAACCAAAGTGGGACTGACATGAGTGAACAAGGTAGAAAGCTGTTATCTGTGTAAGAACTGCTGTTGCTTTATCTCATGCCATGTACTGTGAGGGTTGGGAGGACAGAAGCACCCAAAGAGATTACAGTTGCATGTAAGATGAGAGCCCCATACCGTCCTCACCCTCAGCTGGATGCTTACCTCGGTGACAACTCCACAGGCAGCTACCAAGGCAGAGTGTGGAAAAGTTCAGGGAAGAACCTGACACACATCCTTAGAAATAGGAGGGTGTACAAGACAAAGAAAATTTGGTGCCTGCTTCCTCCCTGCAGAAGTCCAAAGGTAGGAGGCTGACTAAAGCTACCCATTCAGTCGGGGTTATAGAAAACAAAATATCATGCTTCTTGTGTCTAAGTGAACACCTAAAAGGTCACCCAGTGAACATGTCCTGAGAGGACCAGACACAAAAAGGCTAAGCGCAAGGGCAAGGGGATCCCAGAAGAATGCAGGGGTGTGAGATCTTTCCCCACAGTCATAAGAGGAGATAAATAAAGCAGCAGTGCTGAGGTCCCCATGAAAGACTTGCAGAACCCATAATGTTCCCCTTAAAGAACAAACAGGTCAGCACCTACCACACAAAACCCCCAACAGCTGGTGGGGCAACTAAGACTGCTATTTTGCCCTATACGTTTATCCCTCTCTTTTTGACCCTAGAGAAACCAGGCAGAGAAAGGAAGAGGAGGAAAAGGAGAACAAACTACACCCCCTTGTCTACCGCAGATCCTGCAGCGAAGCTTGAGCTAGAGGAAGGGGAAAGCTTGGGACTGTATTGGACTTGCAAAAGGAAAGCTTCCCGGGCTGTGTTCGGTGGGAGACCCGGAGAGGCGTGGCCTGACTAGGAAATGCTACTGTTGGGCTCCAGGCAGGTCGGCGGTAGGGGATTTGGTCGTCAGACTCCTTCCATTTAGTGATCACATCACTGGGGACCCTGGAGGGTAGAGGTTGTCCTGTTCCCCCTTCCGGGCTGAGGTGAAATCTAGTAAATGGTGAAGTACTTCCCGGCCAAAGGGTACGTGCGGCCTGAGGTCCCCGCAGCACAGAGTTGGAGAAGAGCTGGACCCGCGGGCGAAACCAGCCTTGCCAACGGAGCAGGCGGAGCGCCGCCCTCAGGAGTGGCGGGCGGCCTAGAAAACCCTGTGGAGTCAGTGTTGCCCTCGGGCTCCTCGATCGCTCCTTTAGCCGGGGAGTGGGAGGACCTGCAAGCGCCGTGGGGCCCTCTATAGTGTAAGCAGGGACCGGCTGCTGCAGCGTCCCTTTTCCTTGCGCTTACTCGCAGTCCCAGACTGGAGGGACCCCGGGCGCCCTGAGCCCCAGCCCCTATTTCGTTCTTTATCTCCTGGTGCTTCCCGATCAGCTGAGAAGGAACCTGAAGCTGTAGAGGGGACTGCAGGAAATGGACTACAATATAAAATCCAGAAGTCAACTTGAAGCTTTAACCATTGACCCATTTTATAGGTAAGATTACACAAGCCCTTAATAAGTGAAGTTGAAATTAGATCATAAGAGCTCCTGACTTGCATCACCTACAACCCAACAAATAATTCAAGTACGGATATGTATGTAAAAAAACAAACAAACAACAACAACCCCCCAAAAAACAAAGGGAAAGCTCCCAACTTTTCATTTCGGCTGGACTGCATTTTTTAATAACCTAATTCTGAAGCTTTTTAACCCATGAAGGTGAAAGAAAGCTATGGAACATCAAAAGGTCAGAAATGGAAATGCAACAGAACTTGTTGAAAGAACTGGTGGGAAATTTTCAAGTTGTTTTTTTTGGTACCAGGGATGAAACTCAGGTCCTTGCGCTTGCAAGGCAGGCAACAGTCAAGTTGTTCTATGACTGCATCCCACTGCATAGAATCCTTTTTATTAAATGCATATATTTTTAACTGTTCCATTTTTAATATCACACAAACCTTACCTTTGAAAGGAAATCTTCTGCCTCTATGCTGTATCTTTTAAGGTCCTCATGCAATTTCTGCAAACACTGTATGACTCTTCTTTGATGTTCATCAGCCTTTAGCTCCTGAGCTTTGATCAGAAAGTCATAGTGGTCCAGAGGTCCGTGGCAAACAGCCAAAGCTTTCAAATAGGCCTCAGAAGCAGCAGTTGGGGTGACACTGTCAAATGTCTGAACTGTGTAGGCTATAAATAAAAACAGACACAAAATCTTAAGACTTTCCTAAATAAAGCTATTTCATGGTGCTCCACATGGGGCACATTAAAACTTTTAAATAATTACAACTATGCATCAGCAGTTTTTACAACTGTCACTTTGATTAAAATACAAAGTAAATCTGATACATAAGAATACATATACACATATGTATATATTCATACACATATATATTTTTTTTTGTTTCCTGTGCTAGGGATTGAACCAAGGGTCTTGTGCATACTAGGCAAGCACTCTGCCACTGAGCTACCACACCAACCCCAGTAAATGTATTTCTAACTGCTCATTTTAAAAATAAATTTGCTTAAAACTATAAACTATGATTATAACCCCTCTTCTAGAAAGCCTGACCCGCTACAGGGTCTCTTTTTTTCTCTACACCACTAAACTAGCCACCTAGATTCCTCATTTCCTTCTCAGAGATAGGTGGGGTGAGTGCATTTTTTGAGTTAGGCCTCACTCTTCTGGTGTTTGAGCACCAGACAGAGACTTAAGAGTCTTGAAAGTTTTTCTACTGTTCCTTTATTCTCTACACAAAACAATACTTAGATATTATATCAACTTCAGCCCTCTGCTTATAAGATTTCTTCTGTTTTCCAAAACCCCTAGAGATTGAACACAGGAACCTGGCACACAACAGTCTCCTTCAAAGCAGAGTGGTATCCTGCTTCTTTCTTTAGCCACTCCTGGGACAGAAATGATTGGCTGATGTGAAGTCCAATCAGAATCCATTCCTACATTTGATCTCAGCCAAAAGCCAAAGAAGTGATAATAATTCCATTCTTTATTTGGGTAGGTGGCTCCCTCTCTGTTTGTTTGTTTCAGTTTGTTTTTGTGCTAGGGATGGAACCCAGGATCCATTCATGTTAAACAAATGTTCTTCCACTGAGCTATTCTCCCAGCCTCCTCTCTTATTTTTTAGAAGCAACAATAAACAGAAGCAACGTTTGCTTCCCTCCCCTCAACTGAAGTGAAAGTGTGATGAAACAGGTTGGAAGAGCCTGGTTCTTTAATTTTCTGGAGTCAATCTTAGAATAATAGGAATTTCTTTTCCTCTATCCTACACCCATTTCCTTACCATTCAACAAGTTTCTCAGCCAATCAATCATCAGTGCTACTCAATTCTGTATTCATTCTCTCCTTTGCTTCCTCTTACTACCTATCCAGCTCCAGCTCTCATCTCTCATTTGAGGTACCACAGTAGACTCCCTGCCTTCAGTTGCCTTCACTGTCCCAAATTTACCATTATCACAATCTCTAAAATATCTTCCAAGCTGGGTGTGGTGGCTCATTTCTGTAATCTCAGCATTTGGGAGGCTGAGGCAGGAGGATTGCTATGAGTTCAAGGCCAGCATGGGCTACATAATGAGTTCAAGGCCAGCCTGAAATGCACAGTGAGACTGTCTCAAAAAAAAAAAAAATCTTCCACAAATAGAAATGTGATTTATTTTCTTTATGGCGTCGAAAGATGAAATTACAACAAATTTAAAGACCTTATGGTACCAGGTAGGGTGGCACATGTCTGTAATGCCAGCCACTGGGGGTAGGGGTGCCACTGAGGTAGGAGGATCACAACTCAACAAGGCCCTATCTCAAAATAAAAAACAAAAACAAAAACAAAAGATCTTAGTTGGCATTCTTTGAGACTTTAGTGCTGGGCAAGTATTTATTCCATAAAATAAGATGGGCATTCTGCTGAGCTGAGCAGAGGAAGTTGGTTCCAAAGACACAGAAAGACTGAGGAAAGCAGAAACAGAAAACAAAAAGTGGATCCGTTGTTTCCAAGTTATTGTCCACGTAAAGGCCAGAGACTTCCTTGTTATGTTGGCTAGAACTGGCCTGTTCGGGAATTTGGCCAAATCTCTTGATTTCTGGGAAGGTCACATACACACTTTTGATCTGATCTGATGAAACTTTAGCATAAGTAATTCCATTTTGGTTTGGTCTGATGGGTCCTAATGCAGAAGCCCAGTCCAAATTGCTGACCTCTTCTTACAAGTTTTGTTTAACACTTGAAATTCATTTCTCTGTTTAAATGAGTGGCTTTCAAACTCTATTTTAATAACAAAATCTTTTCTACTATAAAATCTTCCATGGAATCCTCAAGTTATTAAAGAAAAAAATGAGAAGGGGGCACAAAGCCCCATCCTCTTCACCTCTCCTCTTAACTACACCCACACCACTCCCATTTTCCTGAAGCTACTTCTCCATCCTATAGAATCACATTAAGTACGAATAAAGTGCAGAAAAGGGTTAACACAGCAGGCCTGAGACTGGTCTCCATAGAAAGGCCTGTTTTCAAGATTGGCCCTGATGGTACTTAAATTTCAAGAGGTTCTCATTGTGCCCAAAACTGGTAACAGTAACTTACTGTGCCTAAACATCTGTATATGCACAATGTAGTTGTAGATGAACCTAGCTTCGTTCAACCAGTCTAGACTTTTGGCACATGCTAGGCAGAGGGTACTTATGTGACCAGCTTCCAATAAAAACCCTAGACACTGTGTCTCTAATGAGCTTCCCTGACAATATTTTATACCTGTTGTCACAATTAGTTGCTAAAGAAAGTAAGTATATTCTGTGTAACTTGCTCTACTGGGAGAGAACTCTTGGAAGCTTGTGTCTGATTTCCTGTTCCAGGTACCCTTTCCCTTTGCTGATTGAGCTTTGTATCCTGTCACTGTAATAAATCCTACCCATGAGTATGATTATGTGATGAGTCTTCCTAAAGAATCTGCAAGCCTTGGGTGGTCTTGGGAACCCTGACACAGAAAGTATCCTCCTTCTGGCATTCAAAGAATCCATAAAACAGCCCCAATCTAAATTCAAGACTGCTCTCCCTATGCGCTCTAAAATATATCCATTGATATAAGAAATGATCAAGTACCCACTGCATGGAATGGGGAATAAAAAAAGTTTTTGTATGGAGAAGTAATATATAGACTATCTGGCAGGGAGAAAGAAAATGGCAGAGTGGTGATCAGTGGCAAAATTTACCCTCTCTGAGATCCAGAATACAGACACTGAAAAAAAAAACAACTTCTCAAAGTTGCAAATCACCAGGGGCCATGAGAGAACTGACAGAAAAGAGAGAGAGAGAGAGAGAGAGAGAGAGAGAGAGATAAGTACAGAGAAGTTGGAAATAGTCCACAATGCAGAGGAAAGGAGGAAACAATTTGGACTCTTACAGCTTGAACACAGCTTCCCAGAGGCAAGGTAAGTGCCCAGGGCTGGAAAATCCAAGGAGATCCACAGCAGAGCCAACAGCCTTTGTGAACTACAAAAACAGAGTGGGGTTTTGCCCCACGGGCACTCCTTCTACACAGGCAACAGCTGGAAGGGTATTCAAGCATGAGCGCCCACCATATCACCAGAGCTTGATCAGGCACCATTTCAGGAAGTGCATTTAAATTGATTATTTAAATCTGGGACTCAGAACAACTAAAAACTTTACTTCAAGACTCCCAGTGTTACCCTTACTGAAAATCCTTGTATGCTTGCTAAAGTGACGCGCTCCCCAATTTGACCCTCATTTAATCAATATTACCTGGGTGACTGTACTTGTAATCTTACTGGTTGGTCATGGTTTTGCCCCACCTCATGCCCACCTTGTAAATTTCCATTGGGTCTCATAGTTTTGTCCCACTTTGTACCCGCCTCACTACATGGCTTTGCTGTATAAAACATCCTTGAAAAGTGGAGTGGGCGGGAAACCCACTTTCCGGTCCCCATTCTGTCTCTCTTAGGCAGAAGCTTTCTTTCTCCCAATAAATTTTTCCTACTCTTAAAAAAAAAAAAAAAGACTCCCAATGTTAGCCTCCCACAGTGAGTGGGTGAGAGACAGTCACAGGAGACAGTCCTGGAAAGGGATCTATATCTCTCACCATGTACTATAATAAAGTCAAACTGGATCAAAGATCTATGTAGTGAAACAGAAACAGTTAATTGGAAGATAAAATAGGTAACTTTCTGAATATAACCCCAACTGCTCAAGAAATTAGATCAAAAATCAACAAATGAGATTATATCAGATTAAAAGCTTCTGCACAGCAAAGGTTAAAAACTGACAGAGTGAAAAGACAACCTACAGAATGGGGAAAAAAAATTTGCCAGCTACTCCTCAGACAAAGGACTGATCTCTAGAGTACACAAAGAAGTCAAAAATATTAAAAAGACCTAAGCAAAAAAGGGGCAACTGAAATGAACAGACATTTCTCAGAAGTAAAAGTGGCCAATAAAAATATGAAAAACTGTTAACATCTCTGGCCTTCAGAGAAATGAAAATTAAAAAAACATTGAGATTCCATCTTGCTCCAGAAAGGCTAACATCCAGAAATCAACCAATAAGAAATGGTGAGGCTCTGGGGTGAAAGAAACATTTCTTCATTGTCTTGGGAATATAAACTACTACAACCATTATGGAAATAGGTATAGAGATTCTTCAAAAATCTAAAGCAAGAAATTCCATTCAACCCCACTATTCACCTCCTAGGAATTTTCCTGAGTTAAAGTCATTAAAGTGATACATGTATGCCCATGTTTATAGCAGCACAATTCCCAATAGCTAAATTTTGGAAGTGGCCTATATGTCCACCAAGAAGATGAATAAATTAAGAAAATGTGGTATTTATGCATACTGGAGTACTACTCTGCCATAAAATAGGATGAACTTGAGTCATTTATAGGAAAATGGATGTACCTTGACCATACTGTTAAGTGAAATAAATCAGACACACAAGCTTAAATATCACAGGGTTTGTCTTATATGAGATACCCACAATATAAAGAGCAAAATAAAATTTAGTAATAGAGGGGAAAAAAAAGAGATGGACAAGGGTAGGGGGGAAAATGCAGCCCTGAGGGGAGAAGAAAGGATGTAAAAAGAATTGAGGTCCGGGGATATAGCTCAGTGGCGCCGCACCTGCCTGGCAAGCACAAGGTCCTAAGTTCAATTCCCAGTACTGCAAAA